AAGCTGGAAGTGGCACTGTGGCTCAAGTGGTAGAGCACTAGCCTTGAGCTGAAGAGCTGAGGGACAGCGCCCAGGCCCAGAGTTCAGGCACCATAATCGACAAAAAAAAGAAAAAGAAAGAAATTGGAAGAACATTTCCAGAAAAGTGTGAACATAGATATTCACCTTTCCCCATGCATCCATATAAGAGCCAGCTTAAATTATTAAGAAAATGTAAATATAAAGAAGGAGAAATAGCATCAGGAACAGAACTAAAAGGGTATAGCATCACATGCCATAAGATTTTCCTACATCAGATGGAAATTAAGTGCAAAGTAAATTTTTAAAACTGCCTAGGATTGATACACAGCTTTGTGGTCTTAAGAATGAACTACTTTGACATGAGAAAGAACTAGAGTTGGTGCTGACAGATCCTGATTAGTCTTCCAGAATAGAAAGCTGTAGGCCCAAAAACAAGGAGGAGCCATGAAAGAGACTGAGTCTTTTGGTTCTGAAGGCTAGAATCTTTATAGAGTAACCACTCCCAGAGGACCAAGGCATATGCAGATTCCTGAAACAGAACATCTGTAGGAAGCTGTACTTTTTCCTAAACTCAGCACTATTTATGGGGTTGTTCTTCCATGTCATGGGCAGTAAGTCCAGACAGCTACAGCCACAGTTATATATCACCAAACAAAAGAATCAGGCCTCAGAGATAATTAGCTAATGAAAACTGATCACTGGAGCAGACTGAATCATTCATGCACCTAATTCTTCCAACTGACAACTTTTGCTTTTGTGGTTTTCAGATACTATTATCCTAATGTGAGAGAGCAGATGGTTGCCAAAGGAACTTTGCCATTATCAAGGATTTCTGCCATGGTTACCATGCAGCACCAAGAGGCTACAAGAACACAGAATTTTAATCTCCCTTTAAACCCCAAATTTGAGAACAATAAAGAATTTAGGAATGAGTCATCAGGTGATTGAAGACTAATTTGTCCTCTTCAAAATCAGTATACATAAATACCATTTTCTCAGATCAGATGGAAATCATGAGACACTTTCTCATATGAGTGTCTGATATATACTGCAAACTTGCTGTGTAATTCTGTGCAATCTCTGTATGAAGGTGGCCTATCTCATTTCCCTTTAAGTTTAGAATATTTAGCAAATTCTAAGTATTATGTAGGTACACTGGGAGATTTATTGTTCTAAGGCCACATAAATTGATATGGATTGGTGGAATATACTTAGTGGGAAGTAAGGATTTGCTGTAAGGAAGAAGAAAGGTAGGAATTCAGTTGAGAAAGAACACTGAAGATGTGGAGTTTTAAATATATAACAACTCGTGGTTCCCATCAGGATTGGCAGATGAAGAGAATCTGCCATAACAAAAGGTTTTAACTGACCTTCATTAAGATTCAATTACCCCTCCTGACACTCATGGATAAGCTTATTCACTTAAATTTTCCCTGAAATGGGACAGTAGGGTAGTAGTACCTTTTAAGAAGGCATTCACTTATTAACCCTTGCCACAATTCTGATCATGAATAGATTTGTCACTGCTATGGTCTCTTATCATTCACTAGATTTAGATTTAGTGTTTTTCCCCTTCCTTCCTGACCAAAAACTTCATGGTTTGGTAGAACAAGTTCTTCTTACCAACCTTTCATCTTTTTACCTTTCTTCCTCATTCCACAGGTTTTCTGGATGTAAGCCTACGGTACCAGTGTAGTCCAAGAACAACAGAGGGAGTTCTTGCTTCCCGAGCTGTCTCCATCTCGGTACAGATTATGAGAGCCTGTGGTCTGCAAGCAGCAGCCAAGTAAGTCCACCTTAGAAAAACAGTTCTTTACCTCTCTAAGTCAATTTCTTCATCTGAAAATGGGAGCTAGTAGTAATTTTTATAGGAATAAGTGAAAAATTAACAAATTTGAAATAACTTTATAAACTACCCTATATAAATTAATGTTTAGACAACATGATACAATAATGTTTGCCTTTCCTCTCTTTTGTTTTCCTTTTTTCATGATACTGAGGATACTGAGAACACAGGGCCTCATACTTAGCTCTGCTTCTTGAGCTATGCCCATTTTTGCTTTAGTGTTAACTCTGGGATAGTGTGTCACATTTTTCCTGTGGCTGGCCTGTACAGTGATCTTTCTATTGATGCCTTCAGGGTAGCTGGGATATAACAGGTACATACCACCACATCCAGCTATTAGTTGAGATGGCGCTCTCACTACAATCTGGCCTCTAACCACTATCCTTACAATCTCTTACCTTACCTGCATCCAAGTAGCTAATATTATAGATGTGTACCAATGTATCCAGCAAAAAAGAATTCTTAGTATTCTCTTTTGAATCCTTATTCTGATAATTAGATAATATATGTTTTGGCATTACTAGTCTCTCAGAAGACATCAGCCTTCACATATTTACCAGTTGGCACAATCTCTTTGCTTGAGCTCACCTCAAATTTTGATCCTTTCAGTCTCAACTTCTCAAGTAGCTAGGATTACAGGTGTGAGCCACTATACCTTCCTTACTTGATCTTTAATTGAGAAAGATTAGATACTTCCTTGAACATAGTCAGTAGTCTTTTAAGTCTTTAACTTTTAAGCATAAGAAATTGTCACTACTAAATATCCAGCTTTGGGGCTGGGAAAGTGGCTCAGTGGTAGAGCGCTTGCCTTGTATGCATGAGGCCCTGGGTTCGATTCCTCAGCACCACATAAGCAAAAAGAAAAAA